ATTATATAATAAAGTGAAGACCTCGTCCCGTAATGTTTTGTTCTAAGGTTTAATTATTAAATATTATTTTCAGAACTAAAGGGACTGTTCCCAAAATGTCCTGTGGTTCTTGTGGCTGCTGTTCGCCGTTTCGGCCTCGATACAAGCGCCTGGTCGACAACATTTTCCCAGATTATCCCGAGGATGGATTGGTAGGGATTCTAGGGATTCATTGGCTTAGAAATTGTCATAACCTAACCATTACTTAACAAATCAGAAATAATACATATTACCTTTAATGTTCCATTTCATTTAATTTTTGGAAATTTTTTGAGCAAACCCTTGGGTACCTTGGGGGTAACATGGGCTAAAAAATCCATTTTTTTAAAAACTAAATTTTTTTCCCACAGCCAGCTATATATTATCTTATATACATAACTTATAATTTTTATTCATCGATTTTTATTTTTAGTTTAATATCTTTAGTATTTGATTTTAAGATTCTTACTTTAAACACCAAATTGATTTTTATCTATGTATTTATTTATTAGGTAAAGGGAAATATGGACAAGCTACTGTACTACGCGGTCAACTCACCAGAGAAATTAGACAGGTAACCAATTCAGTGTCAGACTGTAGACGTAGTGAAACGNTTTATGAAGAATTTTTTGATTGATGGATTGATCATTCTATTGACGAATTATTTGATGGATGGATTAGTTGATGGATTGATTATTTGATTAATAGATTATAAAATGGACAGGACATTTGATGAATAGATTATTTGATCATTGATGGATAGATTATTTGATCATTGATGGATAGATTATTTGATCATTGATGGATAGATTATTTGATCATTGATGGATAGATTATTTGAGCATTGATGGATAGATTATTTGATGGATAGATTGTTTGATGAAATTTGTTAGATACTGGTTTATTTAATTTTTCATTTATTTATTTATTCAGTGGTTGAATATGTACGTTGAGTTCTATCTGTTGACTGTACAGCGTGTACTTGAGAATACACAGCCAGAGATGCAGGTATTTATGTTTAGTTTTCATGTACACAGTAATCATGTACAGTTTTCATGTAAATACACAGTATTGAGGTACAGTTTTCATGTAAGTACACACTATTTAGGTTCAGTTTTCATGTAAGTACACAGCATTCAGGTACAGTTTTCATGTAAGTACACAGCAATAGTTTTTATGTCCACAGTATTTATGTACAATAGTAATGTTTACAGTATTCATTTACACAGTATTTATGTACGGTACCCTTAAAACCTTTGTCTGAATAAGGATGAATAAGATATCCTTATATTTCTCTGTAAAAATTAATTATTTTTAACTGTGGTTGAGCTATTAGAGTGAAAAAATTAATGAAATTGTTAAGAATTTGACACATTTTAATAAAGAGAAACAATAATTATTTCTTCATTTCTCAGAGAGAGAGGTTTTAAAAGTACTGTTGTGAATCTGACATGCCACTTTTTATGGAGGTTCACTTGAAATTACGTCTACAGTCCCTTCAAGAATAAACGCTTTGACCTGTTGAGAGCTCTCAAAATTAAGTTGTTGACTCCCTAAAAATACCAACATAAAGGTTTCTGGCTCTCCACCACGGATAATAACTTATATTTTTCAGGTTCGTGCATCCGAATCTTTTCTTTATTTTGCCCAGAAGGAAGAGGATGTTCCTGCTTATCATAGGAGAGATAGATGGATAATTGAATTTATGCCATTTTTACCCTGAAGGCGCAACGTG